ACTATGTTTTCATTGGACAGTTCAAATGTCTATTTTTAAGATGATGGTTTACTATTTCCATGTTTGTTAGGTACATAACGTCAGTAACTATGTTTTCATTGGACAGTTCAAATGTCTATTTTTAAGATGATGGTTTACTATTTCCATGTTTGTTATGGGACTAATGTCAGTAACTATGTTTTCATTGGACTGTTCAAATGTCTATTTTTAGGAGGATAATTTACTATTTCCATGTTTGTTAGGGGACTAATGTCAGTAACTACATTTTCATTGGACAGTTCAAATGTCTATTTTTAGGAGGATGATTTACTATTTCCATGTTTGTTATGGGACTAATGTCAGTAACTATGTTTTCATTGGACTGTTCAAATGTCTATTTTTAGGAGGATAATTTACTATTTCCATGTTTGTTAGGGGACTAATGTCAGTAACTACATTTTCATTGGCCAGTTCAAATGTCTAATTTTAGGAGGATGATTTACTATTTCCATGTTTGTTAGGGGACTAATGTCAGTAACTATATTTGTATGCACAAAAATGGTTTTCAATAAATTCACAAGGACAGCCATTGTATAAATTTCAGATCTTTTCTGGATTATCATTTAGATTTTTTATCACTGCATTACAGTCAATGTGGCTTATTTAAAGGACTACAATATTTTTGGTATTATCTGGATAGTAGGAGTTAAATTTGACTCAAATTCCCCTGTTTTCTAATGACATTAAGTACAAGGGACATCCCTTCTTTGGATATTATAAATTTTCAATGTGAACATATCTATGATCAGTATATGATTATCTGTAATTGGAAAATTGGTCAATTTTTGATTTTACCCCATGATCTACGAAATGCCAAAATGTATTTCTGATATATTCCATCCTACCACGAGTTTATATTAGCTGTGGTTGTCACATGATTTGTACATTCAAAATCAATTTAACATATGCACTCAACCCATTCTACTAGACTAATAATATTTTCTTCGTTATGTAATAGATAGTTTTTGAGAAATCTCTAACTAACCGTGTTGAAATTCAATAATTTTTCTTTCTAAACTTTTTATCATGTTACACCAAGAAGTAATTTTCCCATTAAAATGAAATATTATTTTTAAAGTTCAATTCATTAAAGATAAGAGATAATTGTGGGTCAACTGCCTGGAACCTGTTCCTCTGTACTAAAAGTGAGCATTTGTTCTACTAAGATTGTAAATACTGTTATTTATATTCCTTCTTATGTCAAACTCAAGTCTAAATCTTTCTTAACAGTTTCACCTCTTTAAAGAACACAATGAAAGTGTAAAGCAAAACAAAATATTTAATATAAAAACAAGTGGAAGATGTTTAATTATATAGATTTATTTAAGGCTTCATGATACAAAAGTAGAGAACTGTATGTTACTTTCCACTCTTGCTTGGAAGAATGATGCCATCATACTGGAAAAAAAAATATATATATATATATGATGAACTTCACAACACTTGTTTACTATTCAAAACAATAACATTCACTTTGATAACAAGTGTAATAATTTAACAAAACTGAAATTATTTTTTCATGTATCTATCTAAAACAACAAAGTAATACACAATAAGCCAATATTAACATTTTTTAAACTTTGAATTGAAATTTCTTACAAATATGATAATTTGAAGATCTTTTTTATAAAGACATCATTAATCATAAAAAGCTGTAATAAAAAGAACTATAGTACATTTCTGTAAATTACAGAAAGGTTGAACAATGCCTTCCAAAGAAAGAAAACTTAAGGTTAGGGGTTGTGAAATATCTCATTAAGTGAGGGGCAAGGGGGTTTATTTTCTGAAGTTAAGACATGTATGTTAAATTAAATGTATGAAAAAACTTCAGTATGCAATGTTTAGCCAAGATTGTTTGATTTTAACTTTTAAATATATTGAAATTTAGGCCTACATTTGAGGAAAACAGCAGCAGACAACACTGAGTAGCAAAAGCATTTACCAGTAGCCACCGACAAGCATTTTCGTACCCAGTGCTGCTATCAATAAAGTAAATAGAGCTCCTTGGGTAAACACTGTTCTCTACAAACAGTGAATAGCTGAGAACATTCTACTCTGTACTCAGTGCTGATATCAATATGAAAAGCTTCAGCTACTTGTGTATATAGTATTCACTACACTTAAAACTCATTCTAAAGCTGAGAGTTTGTACTGGTCAACTGTATTCAGATACAGCCATCCAGAACTAAAACTTCCAAATCAAGTAGACAGTCTCTCCAGTTAATGCAAAAATTGAAAGAGCTCATAATAATGTAAAGCTGAAAAAATTATTGTTGGAGTAACATATAAGGTTAACCTTCATATTCAATAAACCAACAAAAACACTGAAACAACCAGAGAGAGAAATAAATAACTGATTAAATATCCAAGCCAAGGAAAAATTATGTTGTAAGTTTCCTTAGTGTTAAAACATTATCACCACAATGAAGAAATATTTAAGAGAAAATGCCCTGATCTTCCTTTAGTATTCATATCTTGAACCCTCATAAAACTGAAGACAATACGCTACACAAAGATGCAAGACACAATGAAACTTCTGAATGTACTACTCCAAAAGACAAATATAGGACTGACTCTTCTTTCAAAGTGAGTATGAAGTTTCAGTCTTACCATGAGACACACATTCAAGATGATGACAAGGAGAAGTCTTTAGGGATGACTGATCTGAATGCACTGTGCCACAACACAAAGAGAGAACCGATTTCTTTTTAAAAGTGAGTCTAAAGTTTCAATCTTCTATTCAGACACGCATTCAGGAAAATAAAAAGAATGGTGGGATGACTGAGAATGGGAACAATATTTAAAACAACTATGTCATAAACAATGAATGATCAAAAGAAAACTTGCATTCGCAAAGACAGCTTAGCAATTCATATAAAAACACGCAAAGACAGCTTAGCAATTCATATAAAAACATGCAAAGACAGCTTAGCAATTCATATAAAAACATGCAAAGACAGCTTAGCAATTCATATAAAAACATGCAAAGCCAGCTTAGAAACTCATATAAAAACATGCAAAGACAGCTTAGCAATTCATATAAAAATACGCAAAGACAGCTTAGCAATTCATATAAAAACACGCAAAGACAGCTTAACAATTCATATAAAAATACGCAAAGACAGCTTAGAAATTCATATAAAAACATGCAAAGACAGCTTAGCAATTCATATAAAAACATGCAAAGACAGCGTAGCAATTCGTATTAAAATATGCAAAGACAGCTTAGCAATTCATATAAAAACATGCAAAGACAGCGTAGCAATTCGTATTAAAATATGCAAAGCCAGCTTAGTAATTCATATAAAAACATGCAAAGACAGCTTAGCAATTCATATAAAAACAATTAGTTTATTTGTTTTAAAAACTAATGTCAGATATGATTATAGATTAATAAAAGTTTTTAATGAATTTATATTTTTAAATTAAATAGTAAATCTCAAGTTACTACTTTGCATTAATATGCTGATATTAAGAGCACAAAAAGTATAAAGCAATTATCAAATGTAATATTCAGTTTAGTATCTTTTTCCTGTGAACATTAACATAAAAGTTATGATTCTGTCAAGTATTAAGAATCTTTCACTATTCAAATCAGTTAATGTGTACAAAAATAAACATTTCCATAATTAATTCTAATAATTCTGTGCAAATATTTCATTACTACTAATAACTACTGATTAAAATAAAGTTTAAAGCACTTAAAACTTTTTTTACATTTGAATAAATAAAGTGAACTATATGTTACAAGTAATGCATCACTGTTAACCAATACGTGAACCTGAGACATTCAGCAGCTGTGATGAATTACTCTTTATGGTCTTGATATTCATCCTACAGTAGCATGTCCTTCAGAATTAGTATTGATACAGCAGTGAGCAACTGAATTCATAATCTGTACTGCATGTTACATAAGTATTATAAAACTCTGGTTTTAACTATACTCTCAGTTTCTCCAAACACAGTTGCCTTGAATTTACATATGTTCTGTCATAAAAGCCCATAGCATTTATTGTTACGAAGACAGTCTAAAAAACCCAATTTGTAATTAAAGTAAATTCTCACTTAAAGCAGGGAATTATTTTATTGAAAATATCACTTAAAAATAAAGCTACTTATTGCTGATTATGCCACATACTTCAGATGATCTACAACTGGGTGTGGCCACGTTCACATAAACAAGTTTGTAGCCAAAGTCACCAAGTGCAATGAGTCTGGCTAGTGCATTCAGCCCACACACACTGCATTCTTTCATATACTCATGAAAAAAAATGAATCTACAAATATATGTAACTTATTACCATTCCTGTGAAGTGAATGTACAAATGTATTTAACTTATTACCATTCCTGTGAAGTGAATGTACAAATATATTTAACTTATTATGATTCCTGTGAAGCAAATCTACAAATATATTTAACTTATTACCATTCCTGTGAAATGAATGTACAAGTATATTTAACTTATTATGATTCCTGTGAAGTCAATGTACAAATATATTTAACTTATTACCATTCCCATGAAGCAAATGTACAAATATATTTAACTTATTACCATTCTTGTGAAGCAAATCTACAAATATATGTAACTTATTACCATTCCTGTGAAGTGAATGTACAAATATATTTAACTTATTATGATTCCTGTGAAGTAAATCTACAAATATATGTAACTTATTACCATTCCTGTGAAGTGAATGTACAAATATATTTAACTTATTACCATTCCTGTGAAGTGAATGTACAAATATATGTAACTTATT